ATCTATAAACTATTGTCTGCCCAAACTGCCACAGACAGAAGAGTATAGTTTCTCCAAGAAGCAGAAATTATACTTACCTGTTAGACACTGCTATAAACCTGTGAAGGATCTCTGTAACCGTGTCATTGTTATAGTACTGCTGTTAAGAAGGCTACGGTACTGTAACAATACTAAAATTTGCAAAAAATTTTTTTTGTTAATACCCAAAAGGTGATTTCTTAGATGAAATTTTGAAATAAATATGACTTTTTGAAAAAAAAGCAATTGTTGTTTTGATCTTCACATTACACCTGATCCTGCATTCTGATTAGCCAGATCAAAAACTTAGAGAAAAATTAATAAATGTGATAGATTAAAATGAAATTCAAATTAAAATGAATAATAATATAAAATCTCAAAAAATAAATTTTTTTAGTGTATATTTTTTAGGGTTAGAGGTTAGAATTAGGAGTTAGGATTAGAGTAAAATTTATTAAACAAGTATAAATAGGTTTTAGAAGGTTAGAAGGTTGAATAGAAAATGTAGATTTCATTTTAAATTATGATCTGTGACAATAAATGCATAATCAATATGTATAACAATAATCAGAATGTATATGTATTATGATGATTAATATATAATTTTATTTATACATGTATTAGCCAATCAAATATTATTTTTGTCTCCTATTAATTATCTAATAATGTTCATCTCTAATTAATTATCTTTCTATACTCCTTTTTTGATATTTTCACACCTGTATAGATCATTTTTTAAAAAAAGTTAATCAAAGATATTTTAATGAAAATTTAACCAAATTCAATGATTTTTTTATTAAAATTCTATAAATCTGTAAAATTCAAATAAAAAAAATTCACCAAATTTGGTCAGACAACTATTATTTTAATAGATGTTTAGATTTTTTTAAAACTTTTGATCAAAAGTATTTTGAAGACCACCTCAGTGAACTTTTTTTATTTAAATTCTACAATCATGTAGAATTCTAATAAAAAATATCAAATTTGGTCAGGTGGTCATCGAGATACCTTCGATGTTTAAAAAAATCCAAATGCCTATCAAAATAATAGCCACAGCAAAATTTTCTCTAACTTTGAAGGTGTCTCGATAACCTCGATGAATTTTTTTGTATTTGAATTCTACAGACTTATAGAATTCTAATAAAAAAAATTCATCGAATTTGTTAGGTGGTCGTCGAGATATCTTCGATCAAAGTTTTTAAAAAAAAACAAACTTCTATCAAAATAATAGCCGCGGCAAACTTTTTTCTAATTTTGATTGAAGGTATTTCGATAACCAACTGACCAAATTCGATAAATTTTTTTTTATTTGAATTCTACAGACTCGTAGAATTCTAAAAAAAAAATTTATCGAATTTGGTCGGGTGGTCGTCGAGACACCTTCGATTAAAGTTTTAAAGTTTTAAAAAAATTGATGAAAATATCAGTCGCTTGATTATTATCCTTTTTGATTTACAGGGTCTATCCTTTTTAATTCATAAAAAAAAAAAAATTTTTTTTTATTAGGGTTTGAAGGGTTAAATCATATGGATAATTATTTTTGAACCCTTTGAACCCGGACCAATTTTATATACACGACGTAATAACATTTTTGCAAAAATAATCACCCATATAGGATAATATCGACCTTTTTTTTATGAATCAAAAAAATATAAACCCAATGAATCAAAAAGAATAGGTTTGCGAAAACACATACGTAGTACGTAGCAAATGTCTATATAATTAGCATATTTATTAATAATTTACATATTCAAACGATAGCTTATGGATTTTTGTAATGTGCATCATGCCGAATTTATAGCACATATCGTTTTTACGAGATGAAAAGTTGTCAAACATTGCCTGCTATTAGAATTCATTTTGCGATAATAATTATTTTAAAATGAAGGCAAATTACGACAAATATGATGAATTTACTTCAAGGAGATTTTGATTTAATTTAAATATTTAATGCTAATTTTCATTAGTTTCCGAATTACCACCTCCTTTGTTAATTATCTCAACGTAATTTGAAGGAAACATTCCTTGTTCACCACTCCTTAAGCGACCTCGCCACCATTGAGATGGTTGACCAAACATATCAGTTTTACTCAGAATTGCAATGATATCACCTCGTTTTAGGTTCAATTCCATTGAAGATTCACCCTTGAAATCATAAAGAGCTTTACAAAATTCGAGATTCTGAGCAAGTCCAGGAACTAGTTGTCCTGGAACAGTCATTTGCGAGCCACGTTGTTGTGGATTACGACTGAGTTGTTGTCTTTGTGATATAACTTGGATAAATTTATGCATTAAATATGGAACACCAAAGACAGCAAGAATAAAGAAGATTAAGGGACGACGAGAAAATTTTCTTTTTTGAAAATGTTCAAATTGCACAGGATTTAATTCTTGAGGATCTACGGGTGGTCTTCTACCCGTTATCTTGTAAAATAAATGACGTATCCAACGTATCAGTGTGAAGATACTCAAAACTTGGCCTAAATAATTTCGTAAATTTCCAAATTGTTCCACGACACCGACCATGGCCATAAATGAAGAATGAGTGGCGAAATAAGTAGATTCCAACATTTGAGCAAAACCACCAAAGGCATTCACTATTGATTCAATCATGTGAAATCCAGCGGCAGTATTTGCTTCCATTCTTTGAGTTAATGACATATCATCAGGACCATTTGGGCCCATCATCCCCCCATATGTATTCCCCCCATAGGTATTAAAACGATTGAAAGGACTGTAAGAAGAATAGGAACCACCACCATATCCACCATATGTGCCGTAACCATAACGGCTATATGGAGAATATGAAGAATAAGATCCATAACGGTTATAAGGAGATCCATAAGTACTACCATAGGAACCATAACTAGAGTATGGAGTATTATAATTCGTGCCATAAGAACTATAACCTTGAGAACACGATAAATTTGGGATATAGTTAATAAAAATGAATCCTAAGCAAAAAGTAATAAAATATAATTTACCTCTCGTAAAACTTGAACCAGTTGTTGAAGGTCTTGTGGGAAGAGCAGGAGCAGTTTCAGAAGTAGGACTTTGTGCAAGTGGCGAACTTGTCCATGGTAATTGTGTATTAACTGTAGTGGGTTTTGTAGCAGCAGCTTTCTCCCATGGTTTTGGTGGTGAAGGTGAAGGCATAATAGAATTCAGAAAGAAAAAATAATAAATTGGGATAGCGGTTAAAATTTTTAAAAAAGATCATATTACGTTATACACGTGACCACAATCCAATCCATTCTAGGTATTCATTACTAATAATCTTGATCTTCTGGTCAATGAATAAATTTTATTACCGTTACATATCGATATATAAAAATGATAATAAATAACATGCTTTAAACTATATACAAGATAAAGTCGTTTTTTGCTATTATATAATCCAACCCAATGTTAATCAATAATTAGGTTAATACAGTATAGGGTTGTTATATACTGTATATAAGTAAAATATATTTAAGTTAAACCAAAAATCGATTGTTAACTCTATTACTTTAAAGAGCGCTAACTTGAAGCGTTGTCAATCAAAACATGAATACGTATTATTATTTTTTTTTTAATTTTTTAATTATATAGTTCGGTATAACGGTTTACTATAACGACAGATATGCTAGATGATTGATATCAAATGCCGATTTATGGTTTATTGCAGTTACGAAAGAGGAATGTATATGAAGATACAAGTAGTCGTATAAACAAGTTTATGATTATACTTAAGTTATTCGTGTATGAAGACACTATCGCTATAGCAGAGTTAAGATTTTATTCGAGCGATCCGTGTATGAAGACACGATTACTCTTTAGGGAATTGTTATTTATTCAATAAAGTATTCGAGTTGTTCGTGTATGTTACTCTTTATTTATTGTTAAGTTGTTGGAACTTCGAGCTCTGTCTTTTACAAGAGAAATATAAGTCTATTATACCTTTTGAACTTTCGATCTCTGCTATTATTTTTATAAATTACATTTTTGCTCGAACCACTAAATTTATGAAGCTGTTAGCGCTACTTAGCGCTACTAGGGCTATTAGCGCAGTGTTACATTGTGGTTATCTTGTCATATGTTACTAATTACAGGGGTTAACAATCACTTGTAACGATAACAATAATTCCAAATATATATTTGGTATTAGCGTTAGATAACCGATAACGATAACTGATACCGATACGTAAAACATCTGAATCTATAATCTCGTGTAACCTTTCTTTTTTAAATGTTTTGATTGACAACTCATCATTTTAGGTTTAGTATAATGAGATTGACAGATCACTAATATATATTATTGCATATCTATATATATGTTACGGGTGTGTTGATGCCGGCAATTGGTCAATTTGACTCGGGCCAAGTTTAACTTGACCTAAAAACCAATTTGACCCGTAACATATATATATTATTGGAATTTGCTATATAAACTCGATGAGTTAGTCCAAATGCTTATTTCTTTCTAATATATAAAATTGACGGGGCGTAAAGTAAAATTTTAGTTTACGTAATATTTGGAAAAACAATAGTCATCGAACAAAAAGGTTGATCGTTATCTTTATGTGCGCTGTTTTTTAATTGTCCAATAAATGTTCGATCCTACGCAGGGACTAGGGTTGTTAAATTAATGTAAGTTACATGTAAGTTATTGTAACTTACACTGTAACTTTCACTATAACTTACCTGACTTAAGTAACTTACATGTAACTTACCATGTAAAGTAAGTTGTCAGGTAAGTTTTAACAACCCTAGCAGGGACGCCATTTTTTTTTTTGGATTAGTGAATTTTTTAATTTTAATAATTCTGGTCATATCACATGATATTACATGATTTTGGATTATTGTCCAAAATTTCGTTCTTGAACTTTTGAATTTTATAAACACAGCCAATCAGTTTAATAGAAATTAATAGATAACGTGATCTGTAACCTATTAAATAGGAATTAATAGATAACGTGATTTGTAACCTATTAAAATGCTAAAATCGTATATAAAAATTTTTTTATAGAAGGTTTTGTTAAATATTGTTATATGATATTTCTAGACATACAAAAATTTATAGGTTTTACTATTTTTACTTGCTATTTTATTATGGTTACATGATATTTTCTATTTTTAGTTTTAAAATTAAGTGTTATATAATTTAATGCATATACATTGTAATGCATCTACCTGATTGACCAATTAGATTGTAAGATTAAATATAATGTGAAATCAAAAAAATAGTTACTTGTAATTTATAATTTTGTTTATAAAATCATCTTTTGTATTCTAACAAATATTTATTTATAATCTAACCAATTTAATCTAACTCTATATAAACTCTTTTTGATAATTCTCTGGTTAACAACAACTGAAAAACCAAACTACAAAAAAATAATATAGAACTGTTTAAAACAAGTACTTTTCAGTTTTATCTTAAAGTAAATCATTGTTGATAAAGTCTAAAAACATAAGATACCAAAGAGCAGATGTATTTTAGATAGTTTTTCTTGAAGTCAAACCTTTTTTGCTTTTGTAAATTCTTAAGTTATTTGGCATCCAAATCAAACAGATATTCTAGAAACTGGTCTTATCTTCATATATAGAGGTAAGTCAGTAGAAATAGAACAAATTTATTAGATAAATTAAAAGTTTAAAAGATATAATATATCAAGGAGCAGGCATAATTTAGATAGTTTTTTTGAAATCAAGTTTTGTTATATTAATGAAGTTTTCAAATTATTTGGCATCCAAATCAAAAGTATTATTTTGAAAACAAGTAGTAGTAGTAAAAAACCTTTATTAAGATTAAAGAATTGTTTATACAACTGTAAAACTTACAAAAGAACTTCACATATTCTTGTTGATTCTTTACTTTTTTTTAGAAAAATTTTATAAAAAAGTAAATAATTCATTCAGTTTATATTTTCTAAAAGATCAATATATTGTTTACTTAGAGCAGTGTCATTTATCACCTGATTTTTTTTAATCAAAAGCTTACCCCCCTCTCCCCCCTTTTAATATATAATTTGATCAGGTTCTTATATATAATTTTAAAATTTTTATCCCCCTCCCCCCCTAAAAAATCATCTGATTTTTGTCATGTCTCTTACCAAATTAGTTAACATTGTTTACTTTTTATCTATTATAACAAACATATAGATATATATAGAATATAAATATAAAGAAGATGTGTCTTAAATATGTTAATTTGAATAAACAATGTACTGAAACTAACAGTACAAATTCCTGCACTTTCTGATTTTTTTATAATGTCAATATCAAAGAAGTTATTTTTTTTTACTTTGTTAAAGATTTTTTTCTTATCTTAGATATACTAAATATATAAATTAAAATAAAAATAGAATCATATAGTGCTCTTTTCAAGAGAGCCTCAGACAAGTATATTTTGATAAAAGTATTTTCTAATCATATTTGTGTCTTTTAAGCATCTAATTTAAGTAGTCTGCTTATTACTAGATTTTATACTAGATGCTATATCTTATTCAATTAAATCTTTTGATCTAAGTTTTCTATATTAATCCATCTTAACTTATTCAGAACATGTGATATATTAGTCAGTCCAAGTTCCAAAACTATTGCAAACTACCTATAGGACTACTAGCTTGGTTAACTGATTTATTCTCAAGTGCATCATCTATTAGAGCAGTTCAGTATTTACTATTACCATATTACCTAGTCTATTTTGATAACTTATACTGAGTCTAAAGACAAATACTTGTAAGCCAAAATTGCTATTATTATTTATCCAGCTCTTGTAGAGTTCATCCAAATCACAGTACCTCCTCTTCAAAACAACTAGTACCTTCTCTTTCAGTATCTCCTAGCTAGTTTTACCAGATTACCAATCCAGAAGGCTAGAAGGAACATTAATTCTGTGGTATCTGCTAATCTTTTTCCTCCAGTTGATGCTCATGCTAGTAGTCCTATAGGTAGTTTGCAATAGTTTTGGAACTTGGACTG